GATATGAAATTAAACAGTGTAAAGTTGTGTACTCCCTATGCAAAAGCAGTTTTCTAGACCTTTTACTTGTATTCTCTCATTAATTCTCACACCTACCCTATGTTGGTACTGTTCTTGTCCCCATTTGTTCCCATTTTATAGACAAGGCACAGAGAAGCTGAGTGATTTGCTTATTGGTACGCAGCTAATAAATATTGCCAGGATCACACCTAGATGTTTAGAAAGCTCCAAACCCGCCCTTTTAGTTCATAGTAGCGTTGCTAGTGATGTTCACGAACTAACTCATTTAATCCTCACTACAACTCTATGCGAGAGGTATTGTCAGTGTCACTCTTTTGCTTAGGAGGAAACTGCGGCACGGATGTTGAAGTGATTTGCTCAGAGCTAGAACCCTGGCACCTGGCTCCCGGGCCTGTGCTTCTCAACTACTGTGCATCTCGTCTTAGAAAACCTTCAGTTAATCCTGCGTGTTTCAGGGAAGCCTAGAAGTTGAGTGTTGCCAATAGCTGTAAACGCATGGATGGCCAGACGCCTGATGACATGCAGGGCTGGTGCTGGTTTGGGGAGCAGAGAGCTAGGCTGAGAATGATCTCTGAGTTGACCTCCACTCTTTTGCACTCCTGCGGTGCTCCTCTTTCAGACCTCACCTCCACCCACGACCACCCAGTCCCCAGAAAGCACCATGGATACCTCGCTGAAGAAGGAGAAGCCAGCCATCCTGGATCTTTACATTCCTCCTCCGCCAGCTGTTCCCTACTCTCCCCGGTATGTGAACGTCCCCTGCCAAGGTGTGCCCTTCTCCTGTCTGTGTAGGTTCTAAATGTGATGTAAAGACCATGAGGATCTGGAGAGAGGAAGTTGCTGAACTACAGCATGACATGGCTGAGTCTTGAAACTACTGTTACAAAGTATCATCAGACTTACTTTAGGAGAACTGTAGGGGTAGACCCAGGTTTTATAGGGCTGTAAGTGATAGTTTGGTAGGGAGGAGGCTCTTTAAGAAATATCTTGTGAAAAATTTATGAAAGCATATCCTTTTGGGAACACATGGCTGAGACTCTTCCTGGGGCCTTGACAGAGGCTGTCCGGGGGTTCCTGAGGCTTAAGTTTCATTAACTCCATGGTAAATTCATTTCTGGGGAGGAAGATAAAATTTCTGGGAGCTTAATTGCAGTTACAGCTTTATTTTGCTTAGAGAGATGTGTTCTTCATAGGACTTTTTAAAAAACCATGTGAGTGTAGGTGTGGACTCCATATTAGCACATGTGAATGTCTATTATAAATTCTTAAAGATTGTTGCTTTCTTAATGGCTCTTTTAAATTTTATATGGTGTAATGGGGATGATCATACTGGATGGGATAGGAAATGATTTTGGTATGATCTAGGCTGATTTATATCAATGCACATAGTTATATATGCTAGAGAATCTGGCCCATTTACTCAGGACATTTACTGAGCGTTGGTCTGGGTTTCCATCTGACGCAAAACACAGACTTGGTCAATGCCCCCAGAGAACTGCCAATATCTTCTTCAACTGTTTAAGAATAAATTGAGAAATAATATTTCGTAAGACAACATTCAGGCTGAGTTTACTATAGTGACATCTTGCTTTATATTGGAGTTTTTCATTTGTTTTTGTCTGAAGCTGAGCTGTTTGCTTCTATGGTCTTTCTTCCCTGGGTACAGAGGAGATTTAACATCGTTTTCCTCTTCCTTGAGTCTTGGTTTACCCGGGATTTATAACAGCATGTAGGGAATCTACCTCAAATGATCAGGGACTTTCTGGTTCACAGGATCTTAAGTGTGTTGAAAGCTACAAGTTGTGATTGCTTCCACATATACAGAGCACAGGGTTACAATTACAACCAGTGTGTGGATTGTTCTATCAGAAATTGTAGGGAGATCCCTTCTCCTGACCCTAAGTGTTCTTGTCTGGGCCTCCGTGTGGGGTCACAGGAGTAGTGGCAGAAAAAGGGGAATGTACACGGTGAGGGACAAAGGGAACTGGGGCTTTTAATCTACTTGGGGGAGATCCTCGCACGTGCTTGTGTGCACACACCTGCCACTAATGAAGGATATTTTCTGAGCAATAAAAAATGTAAATGGTTACAGAGAAACTAGTAGAGTCTTGAGAGCTTTGTGAGTGGGGGGATTTCTGTATTTTGTGTAGTAGTTTTTGTACTGATCGTCTAATGGAATTTATGAAATGCAAAAAATGTAACCAGCTGCTAACTTTAATTTAAAATTAATTTAAATTAAAATTTAAATTAAAATTACTAACATTAATTTAAAATTTTATTACAAACTGACGTTTAGATAGAATCCAAATTTTGCTG